ATCTGCCTCCAGACCTTATGTGCCTAACCCACCCTGTCAACTTTCCCTGTGGGAGGAAACACGGAGTGCCCGGAGAAAACCCACGACTTTCGGCAGAGCGTTGACTTTTTTACTCTTTTCACATGAGGACTGGGTTCGAGTCACATTGAGAAGTTCTCACTGAGATTCGAACCTGCGACCTTAGAGGTGAAAGGCAAGTGCGCTAACCACTTGGCCACCGAAGCCCCATGATTATTGTTGTGTTCCCTTGAATTCACTGATACAAGATCAAATATCTCAATTGAAATCAAGTGGCCTTCGCGCGTCTGCCATTCTATAAATATTCGCAAAAAGTATTCCATGAAGAAATCACAATTGGATTGCACATTTTAGGTTTTGGGTTTAAATAGAGATTACTAACATACGTATACGGATGACTATATTTTTTATTACGGTAAAGTATATTGGTAGATGATATTTATAAACAATTGACTCACTTCTATTGGCATGGTAAAGCCGGTTACAGACGAGCATTAGTTTTGACAAGTTTTATTTGCCTAGTCTTGCCGGCCCAAGTGCAAGTGTGTATGACAAGTTTTCATATGACAAGTTTTATTTACTGGTGTGAACGTGTCAACAAGTTTACTTTGACAATTAATTAGTAGGCTACGTAGCCAGCAATTGTAATAGCACAGCGGACAACGCGAGCGCTGGCCAATCACATCAAATTCTCAGATTACTTTCACAGGTTTTCTTTGTTGACCCATACAGACGAACAAAATTTATAATTTGACAATTTTTTCTATGACAAGTGCACTTGTTCAAAATCTAGCATGCTAGCTTTTGAACAGGCGCACTTGTCATAGAAAAACTTGTCAAAGTTGCGCGTACAGACGAGCAAATGAAACTTATCACATAAAAACTTGTCATAGAAAACTTGCTCGTCTGTAACCGGCTTAATTAAAGACGTAACAGAGCTAGTTTCATCACTCGAGGAGGACACCATTGACAAAGTCTCATGGCAAACTTAACTGTGCCTTCGATTTTCAACTGCAGCACCTTTACTGAAGGTCTGGCAACGGATGGAGAAACTTCAGGGACAGCTTAGATAGGGAATATTTTACTAATGATTTCTGTGTTTCGGAAATTACATTCTTGAATGAAATCGTATTATTTAATCGTCGTTCACAAGGACGGCAGTCACGGCACTCGGCAATCAAAAAGGAAAACCATCAACATGCAGCAGTTTATCGCTTCGCTCGTTAATCAACTCTCTCGTTATTCAAAATTCTTAATTTGTTTTGTTGAAGAGATTCTTACAATGTCTCTGATCTTGTACACCATTACATAATCGACAACGCGAACAATTTTCAGTTGATCCAGAAGATTTTTTGTAAATTTTCTTTGGCGTGCTTTTTGCTAAGCCGATATAGTGACGATACAGTGAAATATGAAATATTTGTAATCTTTGAGAGCAATATGATACTCTTTCGGCTGCAACACATGATTCATCTGTTGTTTTTGTCTTCTTTAACATTTCTTCAAGTTCAAATACTTTATTATTGTCTCGTAACACACGAAAACCGTTAGAATTTTACTATTTTACAAATTCACAAACACATTTAATACGTAACAAATCATTGCTATACCACCCCTCCCTAAATAGCAATTTATTTCAGCACCCAAAATCTGGGAGCCACGTGACCAGTCGGCACCAGGGTATTTTCGCAGCAGGGGGTGAGCGAAGGTAATACCCTCGGTACGAGGTTGAGCCCAGTCCTGCGTTTGTTTGTATTTTCATTTAGTTCTTTTGCTGTTCCTCTAGGCTAATTTCATTTGTGAGAGTTCACTGGTTTAATATTTGTTTTGTTTTGGGAAAACATTTAAGGGGCGGACCATTAGAAAAGTGATTGGGGGGAGGGGGGGGGAGCAAAAAAAAAGAAAAGAAAAATCGTGCATCATCGCGGAAGTTTGAAAAAAAAAATTGGTGGGATTATATTTAACAACACAAGCAAAACATTTAAAAAAATATTCGTCCAATTGAAAATGCCCCCCCCCCCATCACTTTTCTAATGGTCCGCCAGTAATTGTACTGCAATACAATTAATGAAATAGTTGTACTCCTCTCATCCTTTCTAGGGTACATATCAATTAGGAGTTTTATTGTAAATAGGCATTAGGATTATATATATATTATTACTATTATTATCTGTAATTAATTTTCTGTTTTCAAAAAGATTCTGCATGTTTAGGGAGTGGTCATTATTTATTGGGGGTGGGGGGGAGGGTAAATGGGGAAATTAAGGATTGAAAACTTTTTTGACCCCCTCCAGACTGAAGGCAAACGTTTTGTGCATCCCCCCTCATAAAAGTAGAAACTTTCTGACCCCCTCCCCCCAGTGTGGATTGAAAAATTAACAGCAATGAAACAGGTGTGCGTTGCAGGTAAAGTTACATATTAGGACAATCTGTTTAATCTAGCTCATGATGTTTTACCCTGGTGAATAATATTATTCAACCATATATGACAAAAAATATATATTATGTGTTACTATTTTGTAATGCAACATTTGTCCTACCATAACCCTAACACATGGCCCGTCTTCATAGAGCGAAATGATTTGAACACAGGACATTTTTAAGAACTTGTCTGGGGGGTGGGCATTTACAAAGAGGGACTGGGCATCTACAAAAAGGGACCATACTATACTGAGTGTGGAGAGAGGAAATATGGTTGTTGGTGACAAAAAGTTTGGTGTGGTATCGTATGTAGTAGTAGGGGGTCTGGGGGTGTTCTCCCCCAGAAAATGTTGTATACATCATTACATTGAGCTTTGATAGAACGAATCTGATCAGTTAAGAGTACTTGCATAGTATGTTTATGTAAATACCACAACTGGGTCACTCAGGGGGTAGGAAGCTTGTTAACTTGCGTGTGTTTATTATCTTACCATAAGAGCCCCAAACTTAATTCAGTACATGCAGAATGAAAAGAAATTGAAATGTAAAATTCTGTATTTATTAATTTTGGCGATGATTATCCTCCATAGGCGTTGATTTATTTCCTATTATTAAAACTATAAAACAAAGGTTTGGCTGACCATTGTGGGATTAATCGAATCCATGGTCAGGCAAACTTTCCGCTAGCCCGGTGTAGATGGCTGGATGCATATGAGATATTTATGATGCACACTCAGAGTAACATCAAACATATTCGCCTCAGTACACAACACCAACACACACAAACCTTCGCACGCATTGTCTTGTACTTCTCTTATCCTCCACTTTGGCATTCTCGACCAGTGCATGCGCTTCACTTTCAGCTATGTAATTAAATGTACTAAGACTATTTCTCATTTTCAATTCAAGACAACAAAGTATATACAATATATTAATTTATTAATATCAAATACTATTTTTCAAGTTTGAGTTCAATTATGTTGTTACTTTCCAGCATAATGGATTAATAGTTAATACCACAATCCTGGTCAAAAACCTTGACACAATTACACATTTTCAGTGTTGAGTGTGACTTTCCCCACAACAACAACCATATTTTTCTCCCCTTATCCCATACAATGTTGTGCCTATTTCAAACGTCGCGCTTCTCATCTGCCGAACGTATGAGAAACAATAGATAATGATGCATTTCAGCTGATCATCGATTGTTTTTAATGCGTTCGGCACACGAGAAGCGCAACGTTTGAAACAGGACTTAGTGTAACTACCTTTGCGAGTAGTTACTCATTTATTCCTCATTTATTTATTCCGTAATATCCTGATTATCCAATTTAGCATTCTCGTCTCGAGAAACGTCATGTAAGACCAGTAAAGCACAGCCATGCAGTGTTTTACATAAAACGACTGTATCAAAATTTTATACAACTTTTTCGTTCCATTTTCAAGTTTCATCCACAGTTGGGTTCAGACAAGAAATATTTTCGTGCGCGAAACACGAGCACGTACCTTTTTGCAGTTGCGTGAGATAATAAAAATGTTTGGTTTGATTTGCGTGAATCGAATTAATCAGTTACATCATTACATCCTCATCAGTTACGCTTAGCTGTTCCAAATAGTAATGCTTCGGTTTTCCCTTCTCTTAAGTTAACAATTAGATTGTTAACAATTGTGTATTGAAAATAACTGCTTTTTGCCGATATTTATAAACTATTCAACTCGAGCTTCAACTTATATATTTGTAAAATATGATATACTAACATACTAACTGAATATCTATACTTTTTTGGTTAGTAATACTTGTAAATGAATGTAAACCAGTATACGTTTCAATTCAAAAAAGTTCGAAAGATGCAAAATTTGGGCAATGTTTATATCTGGGGGTCCCCCTTTGTTATGAGCAGAACTGATGCGCAAAACGGAGTGGACATCATCTTTAATAAACATGCATCATTATGATAAACCCAGGCTTACCAGCATACCGTTGGCTCGGGTTCTAGGAACAACATTAACACAATAATAATAGTTAATTTTTTCTGTTATTTACTGAAAAAATAAATGCAGAAGAGTACAACTTTTTATGCCACTATACTAGTGTTCCAGAAATTAATGAAGGATTATGTATTTTGGCAACCGACTGAGTCATCACATTTTGCAGTTCAGTTTTATTGATAATTGGCAGAAAGAAGGAATCCACCAAATTGAGTATATCGACTGCTTCCATGTACAGCGTAGGTACTACTTTTCTCCAACTTAACAAAGAATGCCTTGTCCTTTGCCAAAGCCACAAGAATGGTTTTCGTTAACTGATCATAGTTTTTGTGGTTTGCATGTATATCACTGATAATAGTCGTGCTCCCTTTAATCAGCCGAACGTGAGAACTGTAGCCATTTTGCTGAAGGTATGTGGCAGTAAATTGGTATATACCTCCTATAGGCGCAGTGAATAAGCCAGTGCTTGGGTTATAACCGTTTCCAAGGTTCAGAGAAACGTCGTTGAATTTAATGGCACCGTGGGCGTAGTTAGGTCCAATCTTACCTGTTGTGAGCGTGGCTTGGAAAGCAACCACCACTCGCTGAAAATAATGTATCTTTTCAATTTATATTGTTTTTAATTAAGGCTAAAGCCGCATATTCATCTGAAAATTTTTATACTTTACTACCTGCCAACCTCCTACCTATGTACAAGTTGTTAATATAATGTCTTAATGAACTATTGAATTAAAAGTATTTTCGAAGATAAATCATGGACAGTTTTAAAGTGAGCATTGATTCAGTCTTTGTTTGGCAGACTGTCATGTTTACATTGTAATTTGTGGCAAAAAGTTACTTTTGAAATTTTTATCAATCTTCAATATAAAACAAGACGTGTACTATTAGTGAATCGGCACAAAGTATATC